CTTGTTACTACTAGTAAGGCACTTGTTACTAGTAGCTTCTTGTTACTGCTGGTAAGGCACTTGTTACTACTAGTAAGGCACTTGTTACTAGAAGCTTCTTGTTGCTACTAGTTACTAGTAAATCTTTCGATGGTCTGTGGAAAGTCTCTTCACAAAAAGGATGTCCTACTCTCAGTGTTCTTTCCGCGTGTGCAAGGAAGCCTCGGCGTCGGCGTCTCTATAGAAATCTCTTCAGAAATCTTGTGCTACCCAGCGTCGCATTGGTAAATTGGTGAAGAGCTGGTCATTTTCGGACCAATTTGAAGCTCATCAACATTTTGGCCTCAGCTTCTTTCAGCATCACATTGCATGAAAGAAGAAGATCTGAGTTCGCCAGTGTGCCCGTGGTGTACCTGTAGTCCTTTTTTGGGCCAAGGAACTTGGATCCTCCATGGACCAGCCCAAGCTCGAGAAAAAGCCTTCAGCCATACTCTCGGCCTTGTCCTTCACCTGCAGCAAAGAGCGAAGCTTCCAGCTGCTCAGGATGTTTCTCAGAGTGTTCTTCACGAGGGACAAGCTGCAAGTTCATTAGTGACTATGACATGAATCAGTATCTGTCACCGGTCATGTCCTGCTTGCCCAAGCTGATGGCCCAAGGGGCCCTGCCCGTACGCTGTCAGCTCTCCGGGGAACGACCGACCGGGCCTGGCTCAAGTCCCCGATGCCGGGGGTCATGCTCGACTGGGCCTCACGGTTCCACCGAGCAAGCAGATCTCAACCGACTTGGCATGGAGCAAAATCTCTCATCATGTCATGAAACAACGAAATCAACGAGCCAAAACACGACAGAAAAACATGGAAAAACAAAACAAAAGAAACGCACACAAAACAGCGTGAGTTGCAGAGACCTTGCAGAGACCTTCCTGTGACTTGTTTTGGAAAAAATATCCGACTTCTGACAAGCTTCGACGGTAATCTCCCCGTCAGTCTCGATGCCAATTTGCTCGGCTGGTCCATCTGGATCTACACGGTAGAGTACGCCTGGGGCGGTGCGAAGCAACTCGGCGTAGGTTTGGCCGTGTTTTTCAGGCGAGGCGGCGTTTTGGTGAGCAGCTTCGGTAGATGAAATAGCCTCAACACCTGCTTGCATAGTTCATAACGCATTCAGTATCTTCAGTGTTCATTGCCCCCAACTGCAAATGGCCTGGTCTTCACACGTTCCCTTCATGAAAAACATTGAAAAACCATGAAGCCAAGCCAGCTCTCCAAGAAGACCCGGCTCGGCTTAACCGGCTGAAACGAAGGAAGCTAAGCTCTCCGGCTTCGAAGACACGGCTCTTCACTCAGCCGCCGTTTCGCATCGCGCGGCACCGAAACTGAGGCCAGCACCAATATCAGCGCGGCCTCGCTGCTCATCCTGAGGACCGGATCGTCTTGTCTCGTATTGTCTTGCCAATCAGGAACCCTTGTGAAGGTCAAGAAGTTGAAGAAAGTCTACTTGATTGCCCTTAATCAGGCCATTGCATTTCAGCTCTTGAGAATGCTGGTCAACCGGAACAACATGCGATGTTGTGGATATCAGTTCTCCAAATGCTTTGCATCTTGTGCATTTGGCGGGTGGCTCTCTCTGTGTCTGTGTGTGTGTGCGTGCGTGTGTCACCGCCTCTTCAGTGTTTGCTACGTTTTACGCTCGCACAGCACTTACATCGCATCACCAACAAACTTCAAAGAAAAGTACAAAACACCAACAGTACAAATGATGTACCCAACTTACAGTATGGTGCAATCACACGAAACAAATCAAAAAGGGTACATTAAGACTCACGAAGGTCCACTGATGTAACTTACCTTTACAGCCAATACCGGAAGAAAAGCTAGGGTTCTCCAAAATGCCCGGGGTTTTCACGGGGGTTGCGTTGATCGTCTTTTTTGATTGAAACGCACGTGCAAACTGTTTCTGGCAATTTCTTGCTAGAGTATAGAGAATACGGGTGTCAGTTCAGAAGATGTTCGTTTTTGGGCACCCAAAAGTCGTTCGACATCTGACCTCCAAACCCGTGATAGTGTTTCACGGGTTCGCACGGCTAAAATCATGGGTTTTGCCTGGGTAAATCACGGGTTTGAAAAGATAGGTTGTTTTTTTAAGTAATAACGGTCAATAACGGTGTTTTTTCAAATATATCACGGGCTAACACGAGTAAATCACGGGTTCAGCACGGGTAAACCACGGGTTCTACCTCACACCTGAACTGTTCACGATATATTTCAACAAAGTGTCAACAAAACATAGCAATGGAACGAAATGGAATGAAAAAAACTATTGTATAACCACCCGGATTGTTCAGTATGTAAAGGAATACAACCAACTTTACCTCAGCAGGCAGATTGAGAGAATACCCTTGGTTTTCCTGGGAAACGATGTTTTTCCAATTTTACAAGAATAGCCCGGGTTTGTCCGCATACCCGAGGACAAGTTAGGGTTCCGGCTGGCAGGGTATATATATATATAACACCTAAGGAGCGATGGCCTCCAAATTAATAGCAATGGCCTCCAACCTCATAGCGATGCCCTCATATATCAATTCATTACCTCCCCCAGGGCGCTCCTCTGCAGATTGACAGCTGCAGCAGAACAAGCGCCTCGACTCGATGCAGAACACGCGGACCGCGGACCGCCCGGAAGAGCTCGCTGAGCTCACCGCTGGGAATCCATCGTCTACCCACGGGGAAGCCCGCGGCGTGTCATGGGGAATTCCGCGGTGTTCCCAGAGGTTTGGGCGGCCGTGGCCTGTTGCCGGACAGAAGACACACTGCGTTTGGGAGCGAGCGATTGGCTCGTGCTTGGATGGGTTTTGGCCGGGGGTTGGCCACCAGTGGCAGGCGGAGTGATGTGGAGATGTGGAGTGGATAGTCTGAGTGTTTGGATCAAGGCCCCATTCGGTTCAGGGGTCTGGGTTTGAATCTTTTTGTCTGATACGTCTGATACTGGGCTTGATCGTTTTCAGCAAAGCCGAGGGTCCTGGACAGAGCTGATCTCTCTGTCCTGATCCCTCTGAGTCTTAGAATGACTCTCTCTGACCTACTGTGAGCCAACCAAAAAGCGCGCGAGGCCATCTCAAAAAGCGTTGGATTCTGCTGACTCCATTGGCTCGGAGATAACTCACTTCGCTCAGTTCGCTCAGTGACCATTTTTGTATACTACAAATCTAGGAACCAAATGAATAGAGAGAAAAAAGAAAAGGATAGTACTAGGAGCAAGAACGCTACTAGGGGCTCCTGGCCTTACTGCTAGGAGCAAGGATGCTACTAGGGGCTCCTGGCCTTACTACTAGGAGCAAGAACGCTACTGGGATCATGTTCGCGCATTATAAATGCTTTTTACTCCGCTAACTCCATTGGCTCGGCTTGGTCTTGGCGAACGGCGAACAGCTGCAGCTGCTAATCTTATCGGTTGGCCTTGGCCACGCGCTCAATCTCATCCTTCTTCCTTGGTCGAACAAGCTGCAAAGTATCTTCAGTAAGTGCTCCAACAGCTCCAAGTCAGACATAATCTAGACCCGGTCAAGTCCACATCTTGCAACCGAGCCACTTGATGGCGTAGCTGTTGGAAGACTCCTTCGCGCAATTCATGATCTCATCTGCAAGGCACTCGGCGATGGACTTGATGTTTCGGAAGGCACTGTTTCGCGCTCCAGTGCAAATGAGATAGATGGCTTGATTCACACGGCGCAGCGGGGACACATCCACAGCCTGACGCCGCACCACACCTGCCGAGCCAACTCGGGTGGAGTCTTCACGAGGACCTCCGTTCTTGACAGCATCCACAAAGACCTGGATGGGGTTCTTGTCTGTGAGGAGGTGGATGATTTCAAAGGCATGCTTGACGATGCGCACTGCCATAAGCTTCTTGCCGTTGTTGCGGCCATGCATCATCATGGAGCACACCAATCGCTCCACAATGGGGCACAACGCTTTCCTGAAGCGTCGCATCTGGTAGCGGCCCTGGGTGTGGGGGAGGAACAACTGCGCAGTCTTGCTCACGGCAATGTAGTCCACCAAGCTCAAGTCCGACAGCATCACGTCCTCATAGGTCCTTAGACAACAGAAGAGCCGTTCTGGAAAGGTGCATGATTCTCTGCAATATGGACATTCGGACAAAAGACACAAAAAGAAGAGCCTGCCCTCCAAACAACAAACATAGTAGGAGGTGAGTTGAACCGCTGAGGGGCCGGGTAGAACTACTTCTATAATTGGTTGATGTATGTTGAATTGTGTTGATGTGGCTTTTGACCCACTAGCTTTCGTGATCTAAAATGACTCCACACGTCTTTTCCAGGAATCCATCTTCCAAAGAGCTTCACTTCAGCCGCCGACATCACGCCTATAGAAGGATTGTAGATCCTCACAGCCTCACAGTTCCTTCTTGAGCCAGCCCTTTGGCAAACATTCATATCGAGTCTGTTCCATTCAACAAACGGACGGAGAGGCCAAAATAGAAAGCTGCCTTGCTTAGCCTGTTCACAGATCACAAACAAGCTTCATCTTCATGCATCCATGACTAAGTAGCAACACGCACTGTAAAAATACACAAGCACACCCAACTAGCAGCAATGCACACACCTGTTTTGCTGTGCTCCAAGGTAGGCTCCCAGACTTGTCTTGCAAATCCTCTCAGCGATTGGCCTTGGCCACGCGCTCAATTTCATCCTTCTTCCTTGGTCGAACAAGCTGCAAAGTATCTTCAGCAAGTGCTCCAACAGCTCCAAGTCAAACATAATCTAGACCCGGTCAAGTCCACATCTTGCAACCAAGCCACTTGATGGCGTAGCTGTTGGAAGACTCCTTCGCGCAATTCATGATCTCATCTGCAAGGCACTCGGCGATGGACTTGATGTTTCGGAAGGCACTGTTTCGCGCTCCAGTGCAAATGAGATAGATGGCTTGATTCACACGGCGCAGCGGGGACACATCCACAGCCTGACGCCGCACCACACCTGCCGAGCCAACTCGGGTGGAGTCTTCACGAGGACCTCCGTTCTTGACAGCATCCACAAAGACCTGGATGGGGTTCTTGTCTGTGAGGAGGTGGATGATTTCAAAGGCATGCTTGACGATGCGCACTGCCATAAGCTTCTTGCCGTTGTTGCGGCCATGCATCATCATGGAACACACCAATCGCTCCACAATGGGGCACAACGCTTTCCTGAAGCGTCG